CATGCACATAAACACAGACAAACATACACACACAAAGATACACACTGGTATACACAGGAATTTTTCCAAGGGGGGGCAAAATTGTAATGACATCCATGCTTGGTCCCTTTTTGACAGTGTCATGAAGGGGAGGAGCATAGTTATTATCACATAAAGCCAGGGTGAATAGCGTTTTCACAACTATGGTGTCAATACATGTTTGTGTTCCTGACACTATAGTGTTCCTTTAAGCAAATTAAAGGCACATTCTGGTCACCATAACAACTTTATCTAAATGAAAATGCCAGGAAGCCCCTGGGTGCTCTCTTTCCTTTAGGGGGTTAAACCGCTCTCAAATGGTTTAACCCCAAAGGCTTCCTCCAGCTCCAGATTTACAGGTCACTCAGTGGTATTCGGCTTCTGAAACATAGTGTCAGGAAGTGCAGATTGACGTCAGGCATGGGTGCTACAGATTGGCTAGAGTGGTCAGTTGACGCTCTAAGCCAATCGCTAGTTCCCGGTTCATAAAAATGTTTTACTTTTTTATGAATGGGGAGCTACTGATTGGCTTAGAGTGCCAGCAATCAGCGACACCTCTCCCCAGCGCCACTCTGTGCTTCCTGACACTCAGTAAATAAAAATTAACACATTAACACTGATATTTATTTTTACCTGGGATGATGAGAAGGTCCAAAGTTTCCCTGCCAGGTCCAGGTACCAAAGCCTTATGATGTGCTGTCCAGAATAAAGTGGAGGGTTTACTTCACTTATCCTTCCTGCACCAATCTCCTTTTCTTCTCCTTCATTTGACACAGTCTTCTTTTTCTTCTGACACTGTCTTCTCTCCTCCTTGGCTCCTTCTGCTCCGTTACCTTTCTGCTACTTTTTGCTCCCCCTTCTGCTCCTTTCTCTTTCTGAACCCTTTCTGCTCCTTGCAGACCCTTTCTGATCCTTCTCCTACTTTACCTTTGTGCTCCTTGCTGTCCCTTTCTGCTCCTTGCTATCCTTTTCTGTTCCTTCTCCTACTTTACCTTTGTGCTCCTTCTGATTATTTCTGCTCTTTTACCTTTGTGCTCATTCTGTCCCTTTCTGCTCTTTGCAGACCCTTCCTTCTCATTGCAGACCCTTCCTACTCATTGCTGCCCCTTGCAAACCCTTCCTGCTCATTTCTGTTCCTTCCCCTACTTCACCTTTCTGCTCCTTCTACTTTACCTTTGTGCTGCTTTACCTTCCAGCTCCTTGCTGACCCTTCCTGCTCCTTGCAGACCCTTCATTCTTCTTGTTGACCCTTCATGCTCCTTGCAGACCCTTCCTTCTCCTTGTTGACCCTTCGTGCTTGTAACGGATCACCTGGCATCCCGACTGGGTACCTCTGTTGAAGGATGCTCCTAGCGCTTACAGAGGGCTCCAAGTGCTCTGCCAGACACCACAACCACCGTAGACCCAACGAACCGCCGCGGCTTGGTTGGGGTCTCGCTGTCTCCTACCTACCCTTATCTATGACAAGGCTCCAGATTCCAGTGGGGTAACCTTTCCTCCAAAAGGGTGAAGCAGGAACAAGCTCTTAAAAGAGCGTAGTAGTGATTAGCTAAGGGAGTATGCAGAGCATAGCAATCCCTTGTAGTGATATAGCAATTCTCCCAATAAGAGACAGGACTCTAGATTGAGGGTGAAGTAGATCAGCCTCTTTTATTCACAATCCACAAAGATAGTACTGCCCACAGGGTTTTGAAATACAACCAATCAATCCGTACAATACACACAGACACCCCCACACAAAATCCTCCCCTCTGCCTGTGATATGATTACTGAATACAATGGTTAATATAATTATCACAGACAGAAAAATAAAGTATTATAAAACATATCACAGTGACCCCAAAACATGCAATAACCCCATAAAAGTATCCTCGAAACCGGGGGATCTGGGTGAACCACATATCCAAAATTCACCAAGATCCGATCAGTAGTTTGGGAGATACAGTTTAATGCAGATTCCGCAGAACATATACAGGCTATATGAAAAATAATTACTGTTTAATGTGTCCCCTGTTGAGTTAAAATGTCCGCCATCCATTGTTCTCACCATGTGCCTCTGATACATGAAATGTTGGCCACCCAGTAAATCCAGAGTATGTCCCCAGATGGTTCTTAAAGGGCCAGCAGCAGCATAATAAAATCAAGTTTGCCCACATCAGTTCCTAGAAGGGCAATACATCCCAGGGCCATAATCGCAGGGCAGGATGCTGGCAAACAGGCCCCTCCAAAAATCAGTGGCGAGGTTACTTTTGCCACAGTGCTCCTTGCTGACCCTTTGTGCTCCTTGCTGCCCCTTCCTTCCCCTTCCTGCTCATTTCTGTTCCTTTGTGCTACTTCTCCTACTTTACTTGTTGTGCTCCTTGCTGTCCCTTCCAGCTTCTTCCCGCCCCTTTCTGCTCATTTCTATTCCTTCTCCTTCTCTTACTTTACCTTATTGCTCCTTGCTGACCCTTCCTGTAGGCTGTCTCCCCCATCCATTACTTCCCTGATCTGTAGGCTGTCTCTGCCCCCCATGCCTCACTTCCCTGATCTGTAGGCTCTCTCTGCCCCCCATGCCTCGCTTATCTGATC